TGTTACCATCTGAACTCCAGCCTTCTGAACCATCAGCGAGTGGACTTCATTTTGGCAGAATCGTACCGAATAAACGACTCCTACCGGACCGAGAAATTTTTGGTGCTAAGGTACGTTTAACGGAAGTTGAGGATCAAATAGCGCAAGGTCATTCTGAGCGAGCTGCAGGTTTTGGCCATTACAGAAAATAGCAGGAAGTGGTTCTTCAATTTATGTTCCTAATCGTTTTCTCCTATCAGCAGCCGATGGAACTTCTTTTCTCCCTGCGTATGCTCTCTGCTCTCTGAGGTCATACCTCGTGGAGGGTATGCACAAAGTAGGTATCTTGTGTAATAAGGGCCCTTATCGTATTTATGGCATCACGTTCGATTGAAAATTCCACACTGATTTGACGTTCAGGTTGTGTAGGCACCCACTCCCCTCAATCCTCCCGCTTCACTCTTCATTGCCGGCACAACACCGTGAGCAATGGTCGAAACTATGTTCAATAGGTAGTTCTAGAGCAATTGGTGTGGGTTTTCACAATTACTGTAAAATGGGACCTCACCGCTGAATTAGACCTTAGTTTTATTAGTGATAAGTTTCCATCTCCCCTCTGCCCACCTTCTATTGTACCCTTAGGCCGATGTCATAGTTTGCGAATCGAGCGATTCGCTAGCGAATCGCTCGAGCGTTGCGCCAGCGAATCGAACTTTGCGCCAGCGAATCGAACGATGTACCAGCGAGTCGAACTAGGTACCAGCGACTCAATAGTGGCGGGACCCAACGTTTAAAGGAAGCCCGCCACTTTCAAACAGTGTCCACTGCAAAGTCCCGCCACTTTCAAACAGCGTCCACTGTCACGTACGACTCGCTGGAGCAAAGTTCGATTCGCTGGTGCAACGTTCGATTCGCTGGCGCAACGCTCGGATCCAGCGATTCGCTAGCGAATCGCTCGATTCGCAAACTATGACATCGGCCTTAGGCAGTATGCAATGCTTTGTTAGGAACGATGACGTTTTTTATGAATGACTGTCTTTTAACAATATTTTTTTGTAGAGAGTACAATAAATGTAATGTTGACATTTGATCTGAGTATGATCATTGATAATCTATTTTAAACAATGCGCCGTTTATCATGTGCCTGGTACGCAATGCACGCAGGCGGGAGGGCGCGGGAAAATTGGGCACGAAATGTGGAATGTGGATGGGCCCGTGGAGAGATGAATAGTCCTCGCTTTTCGAAGGACAAGGATGCACGCTCAACGTTGCCCGCAGGACTCCCGCTAACCGCCCTCCCCTGCCCGGATTGCGGCAGTAAGTGGGCGTGACCATAGTTTTAATTGAGGACTAAATTGACATCATTACGTTGACCGTTAGCCTTATCGATTATTTCTTTTTGGTGTATGTATCACTGCCATCACTCTGACAGAAGTAACCATTTAAATACTTTTTTCTCTGCATTGCAACTGTGTGAAATAAAAAGATTGAGTTTTCATGCCTTTGAACCTTCACAACGGTGAAACCTTGCAATATCCTACTTACTATAAAGCGCTTCGTCTGTCGTCTGTCGTCTGTCTGTATGTCTGTCACGAAATTCCCTAGGGATCCGCCTGGAGGGACCGGGTCAAGTGTGGGATGGGTGGGCAAGGTCTCACGAAGTACAAAACACACATCAGCTAAGCGGAGCCCCGCCCACAGTGGGCGTGGCGTGCGTCGAAATGAAGTGTACTGACGACCAAGATTTCAATTCTCTGACAAAACGACCTCGAAACTGGGCCAAAAAGTGGGTAAAGGTGTGCATTGGTAAGTCACATCGAATTAGGGAGACCCACCGGTGGGCGGGGCGTTCTCCAAAAAAGCAGTGCTTTATGAAAAATTTCATAACTCGGTTGGGAGAAAGCCTACAGAGCAGAAATTCATAATTCGGTTGGGAGAAGCCTACAGAGCAGAAATTGGTGTAGGGGAGCAATGTCTAAGGTGTTTCCAGCATACATGACGTGGGCGGAGGCCCGCCCACAATGGGCGGAGCGCGCTCTGAAGTGTACAGCATTTTCTACAAGTCCTCATAATTCGGGCCGGGAGAAGTCTTAAGAGCCGGAAAAAGGTGGATAGAGGTGGGTGGAGGAGTGGAGGCCAACTGTCATCGGTGGGCGGGGCATGACCAAAGTGGGCGGAGTTTGCGACGAAAATTCATAACTCGGCTCCAAGAAGTCCCGGAGGCCGGGAAAAAGGTGGATGGAGGTGGTGGAGGAGTGGAGGCCAGCTGTCATGGTGGGCGGGGACATGACCAAAGTGGGCGGAGTTTGCGACGAAAATTCATAACTCGGCTCCAAGAAGTCCAGGAGGCTGGGAAAAAGGGAGTAGAGGTCGGCGAAGGAAAGGAGGTCAACTGCTATTAGTGGGCGGAGCACGCACCTAAGTGGGCGGAGTTTGCCAAAAGTGTCGTAATTTGGTTCCAAGAGGTCCCAGAGACCGGTGAAAAAAGGGTAGAGGTCGGCGAAAGGAAGGGGGCCAAATGCTATTGGTGGGCGGGGCACGCACCGAAGTAGGCGGAGTTTGCCACGAGATTTATTGTCCGGAAGCAGTCCGGAGACCGAGAAAAAGAGGATAATGGTTGACGAAGAAAAAAGGTTGAAAGCCGTCGATGATGGAGCGGATAGAATTTAGCTGAGAATTCAGATATTCGTAGTGTATCAAGGCCAAATTCGAAATTTTCGCCGCACCAACACATATCGCCGCAGGTCAGTGTTGTGCGCGCAATGCGTGCGACGCCAACTAGTCTTACATATTTTACCACCCACTACTTCCAACTCTCCACGTTCTCCTCCAGCTGCTACTGCAGCGCTATGTCAAATGACTGAGGGTGTGCTCATTAGGCGTTTGAGTAGTTGTTGATGATCTTATCGCCATCTGCCTCTCTCACGCCAACATCGAAAACGCAAGATCTAGGCTCTTCCTATTGGTTGCGAAGCAAAGTCCTGCGACTCTTCCGAATTTTCTACTCTTTTACCCTTTTAACACCTTTTCTGTTTGATCACTCTTGACCGTATCTTATATCTTCCCTTGAGTGTCGACAACACTTTCTCTCGCCATGCTCCAGAACTTTTCTTGGTGTCCTTCGCCAATACCACGGGGGGACGAGGAGAGGACGCCTCACATCGTTTGGAGTTGGAACGTTTGAATCGTCTAATTATTTCCTCATCAAGATGATGATTTAAGGTCCAGGGTAGGTGCAGTCATTTATAGCTCGACCAGGGGAATACGCTAAGAGAGGTAAGAAATCTTGCCGCAGCTCCAGAATTTCTTACCGGGCTCATTTCGGATCATGGTGATTCGCAATGTCATGAAAGAAATGAATATTGTCGCGGTACGAGGGCTCCTGACGAGCTGCCTCGGCCAGCTTCTGAGTTTCCGCAGCCTAGACCTCTAGCTACACAATGGTGCCCATAAAGAAGAAGTCTGTAGTTGAGTTTCCGTAAGAGCCCTACCGGCAATGGAGTGTATGGGACGCTGCTGGCTTCTTATAAAAATATCAAAAGATCGGAAGCGCTGGTAAAGGTGAAACACGCTGTAGCGCTGAACGGACATGCCTATTGAAGCTATTGCAGATAGTGTCGGTCGTTGACACGAATCCATAGTTTTGGAGACATTTGTACTAGACAGTGACTCGGAGTATGGATTTGCTAGTGGTCGAGGTTTTTTGAATTTTCTTGGATAACTACTGACTGCAGCACTTATATCCACCTCGTGGATTGAAGCCTCGAGAATGCTCTACCATTTGTTAGTCATAAATGTTACCTATGAATTTTTCAGAAAAAATTTTAGAAATTTGACTTTCTTGACTTTTTGACTTTTTTCAGAACTTTCTTTCCAACCTAATAGTTCTATCACTGTTTACTCCGTAGACCCTAACATTTCGTTTTGCGAACGGGTTGGCAGATCGACATACACACAAACATGCCCTCGACAAAACCTCACATCAAGTTGGTGTTCCGAAAGAGAACGTTAATTTAGGTGGGAGTTTTGTAGTGGCGGGTCCCGCCGCTACTGTGCGCATGGTACTAGGACCAGAGATCAAATCCCAGCTGAAGTACTGTCTGAAAGAATAAAGGATGAAGCTTACGGCGTTGATCCAGCTTTCCCTAGGGTGTTCCTCACATCATATGTGTTTTCATATAGAACCATAGCGGCATTTGAATATGGTATTGCCTACACAATGACTTACGGAGACCAGCCTATGTGCATAGAAACTAGTGTTTTAGTCCTCCTAAACAAGTTGCCGGGCGAAATTTGACCAAAAATTGAAAACCAGTGAGTGTCTTTCTATTTGGTGTTGAGCACCTTCCTACGTATAGTCATGAATTTTGTGGCAATGAAAATAAAATGGCTAAGGAGGGAGGTATTCTTCGGTTATTCATGTAATGCTCCTACCCCACCTGACCATGGAAAAAGGCCAACTGGACATGGTACCGAACGAATTCTGAGCGCGTAACGCCACTCCGCCCCGTGGGCCTCGTGCACTACACCCCTCCCCCTCCCTCCGCGAGTTCTTTGTGGAGTTCTATATCTCGCAAAACTATTTCTCTAGTGTTCATTTTGATATAAAATTTTCGTCACCGTAATTGTAATAAAGTGCTCCTTGGGAATGCTATTAATATTTGCAGTAATGTACTTCATTACCTCGAGAAATGACAGAAAACACCAAATCTTGATCATGACTCAATGGCGAAGGTCAGTTAAACGCCGTCTGCTTTACCTGCATACGACCAAGGATATCAGCTTGGGGAACTAATAGGACTAAATTTGGTGATGGGAGAGGGCGAAAGCCTGATCCACTCAAACATTTGCTAAAAACCATAACTATGATCAACAAAGCAGTAGCACGACTAAGCATTTCTGAATGTTTATCTCTTTAGATACAAACTTAATCTATTACAAAATTCTACAACTACTAGATGATATCCCATCAAAATGGTTCCGGTGAAATGTTCCGAAGAAAAATTCCCTACTTATCGACTTCAATGATGATGATGGACGTAGTCTGGATCATACGAATCCGAATAAGGATCTAACGACGTTTCCATTGAAGACATGCCGTCGAAATAAAGTTCTTTGTAGTAGTACTCGAACCTAAATCCAGACGAAGATGCTTTTATTCAATTTTGAGGGGAAGACTCCTGGCACTGAACCAATTTTGATATTTTTTCGACGCAATCAGCCAAAAGAAGTTGAGGTATCGTTCCTTAGATCTGCATCAACTCACCATGGTTCTGGAAGAACATGGTCAAGTCGCCAGTTAAACAATCCCGCCACAGGATCTCCTCTCTCCTTAATGTAACCATAGCCATGTGGGGATTTCAGGACCTAAACATGTCTCATAAAATTTCGGGAGCTCATCGATATAATCATGTTCACCGCTTTGAATTCACAATAAGCATACCAAAGGGGAGTTTTTTTTTTCGAAAATAGGTCACATAATTTCCATATTTTCTTGGTGTAGGAGCAGCATTAATACAAGCAGGACTTGTCAAGAATTCAAATATAGCGGCGCTCTGTGTTGTTGAAGGAGGAGCATGCGTTAACTTTGTCACAATCCTCGTTTTGGAGTAAAAAAGCCGTACCTCTTTGCGCATAACGTGCATGAAGTGGCCAGCGTCGCGTGGATTAATATAAAGCTCTCCAACTTCGTGTTGCAAATGCCCATCAAATGCGTATTGGCGAGCATCCAACTTTGAGGTAACACTAAAATGCATGCTAAACAATATCTACATATATTTAAATATCTGTTAATCACCAACTCTTGAATAAGAATTACTATGAAAACTCGATGAGCTTAAAATGTTGGGCATCGACAGCGGACATAAAGAAAAATAAGAAACATACTGTTCCCGCCATCCTGTCCAACCAACTTCATCTAATACCGTAAACCACTCTTCCATCACATCTCCAGAGTGCCATTCGAAGAAATCAAAATCTAATCGTTCAATATCTTCAACTACTGTGTCAGCATCGCCAGGACGCGACCAATCATAGGCCAAAATCTTTGAATGTCTCCTGCACAACGAAAATGTGTACATTGAAAAAGTCGGACTTGTAATGCATTTTAGACAAAGAAATAGAGCGGTCACTAGGAAGCACGATGCCTACCTGTACTCCTTGAGAGAATCCTTATACGACTCCTCTATAGTCTTCAAATAACGTTCGTCCACTGCGGCGATCTCATTGGGCTAAAAGCTTAATACACACATCGGTTGAGATGAGCTAATCGAATACCGTAACACATCGGTTGAGATGAGCTAATCGAATACCGTAACACAAAGAATATAGTTATATTGTAATTTAATTTCACTTACATTTCCGCGAGACCTTACATTTTCCAAGCATTTTTGTACAGGAGTATCAAGATATACGACAAGGTGAGGCCAAAAGTGCAGCTGTTTGACTGCGGACTTGCGCACGTAGTAGTAATGCTTGAAATCTGAAAGAAAAATGAATTGGTTTGATTCATTACATGATGTGCATCACGTTAAACATATGCTTAACCCATAACGGCCGCCGTGCGCCACATGTGGCGCACGACCTTCAGAATGAAATTTTTTTGATTTTTGCAGCACTTCAAGTAATACAAATATACCATTGTATACTTACAACCTAGTAGAATAATATATGTTTCCAGGACCGGAATAGCTTCATTGTTTGCAAATCTACAACGTTCCCAATAAAACCATCTTCATGTACAATTTCTCCCTATTATTCACTACACTTCAACAGTAACAAGTAGTATTTCCAAAACAGCTAGAGATTAAAAACCTGCATCCTAGAAACCATGGCTAAATGCGAGAAAAAGAAACAGAGGAAATCAAAGAAAAAGAGATACCTGAAAGTACGACTAGGAACAACGCAACCTGATGTAGAGATGCCTGTAAGAACACCCGGAAGCGCAAAACACAGAGAACTCGTAAATAAGTAAGAATAAGGAGATATGTGAATGAACTTTCTTGCGCAGAGTTTTGTCGAAGTGATGCGATGCAGTTTTCGCTGCGTTGCTTCTGCTCTCATCTGAGTTCTCTCGGTGAAATACCGTGCTGTCATACCACAAACTCGCATATTCAACTTCCTCCGTATGCTAATAGGCTTGATAATGGTTCCCCATCCATAACCTCCCTACAGTTGTCGCTTCCCTACCT